TGTGCATAAGAAACTCACATGTTTTAGTACCAACTGACAGAGCCACCTCCACCTTTCCAAAGAGTTTTCTCTCTCTCTCAGAGACATTATTCATCTATCAGTAGTACAGCCATTCCCTCCTTCATCCCCGAGTCTGTCCACCCTTTTCCCAAAGTGTGGTGCCCAGGGCACTAGGGTGATTAGAAGCGTCACATTCTTTTCCCAACCACTGACAGAAAAGCCTTTGGAAATTTACAATGTGTATTCTCCCTTGTCTAGGGTTTCTAAGAGTAATAGCAAATATAGATCTACATTTTAATATGATACTGTTCTAAACAATAAGAAAAGCAATTTATCTTTGTATAAACTTTTATTGGTGACGTCAAGATCCACTACTCATTCATCCTCAGATGGTTGATATATTTGTTCCATTTTACAAGATTCTCTTAGCTATTACTATTGTTAAACAGGAGCCTTAAAAAAGATCTCAAATCCACACACCCATATTTGTACATCCCTCTTTGTTTAGTCCACTAATGCCCTTGTTGAATTCATCACACTCTGTTTCCTATAACAGTATTTGTTAAAGCTTGACTATAAATCACATGGTGTAATACAATAAATGTCTTTATATTTTATAAGATTCTGAAAGCCTCAGAGTCATTTTCAATTCCTGTTTTTCCCTTCCCCCATCTAAGGTCTAATGATTCAACTTCAGCAGTGTCTCTTAAATCTGCCTCCTTTCCCACTCTCATTGTTATCCCCTAGTCTGTAGGTCTTGGCAGTTGATTGGATGTAGGGAATGAGGAGTCACTAACCTCCAGGCTAAACTGGATGAATAGTGATGCCAGTAACAGAAATGGAGACGTCAGGAGGAATGGGTTTGGAAGGAAAGGTTAGTTTTGGACATATTGAATATGAGGCATCAGGAAGGAGAAGTGGAGAACTGGAACTTTGGTTAAGAGGTCAGAAAAAGAGATTTGGTAGTACATAGAGCCACTCTAGATGCCATGAGTAGACAATATTTTCAAGAGATACGGCATGTAGAGGGGAGAGGACTGAGGTCAGAACTTTGGGAATAATAACATTTCACATTTCCAAAGAACTTTAAGTTGTGCAAAGCCCTGTCCTCACAACAGCCATTAGGTGGATAGAACAAAGGTGACTTTCCCCATTTTACAGATGAGGAAATTGAATTTCAGAGAAATTAAGAGATTTGCCTTTGATCACAAAGCTAATAAATATCAAGGTGGAATTTGAACTTAGGTGGACCTGACTCTAAGTCAGTCTAGCCACTGTGCCATATGATCACTAAATGACTACATTTGGAGCACGGGAGAAGGAAGAATAGCCATCAGAGGAAGCAGGCAAAGTAGCAGAAGAACCAGGAGAGTGTACTATCACAGAAGTGAAGGAAGGAAACCCATCTGAAAGAGAGAGGTAGTCACAGTGTCAGGTGTTACAGAGGTGTTAACTATGAAGGCAGAGAAAAGGCCATTGGGTTTAGCAATAAAAAGATTATTGGTAACTCAAGAGAGCAGTCTCAATAACACAGGTCGGGGTAGAAGCCAGATTGTCAATAGATAGCAAGGATGTGGATCCAGTGAGTATAGGCTACTTTTCAAGAAGTTTGGTGGTGATGAGGAGAGAATGGAATGATAATTTGAGGAGAGAGCAGGGGGAGAAGAGGTATTTTAGGTTTGGAGGATTTTAGCATGTTTACAGGTAGAGGGAGGGGAGAATGGAAGTAGAGAGGAGAAGATTGAAAATGTAAATACAAAGATCACAGTTGATATAAAGATCATAGTCTTGGCAATGATGAGAGACACTTTTTAGTCAGGAGCGAAGGAAGAGGGCAGGTGAAGGTTTAGGTGAAGAATGAGGGTGCCATGAGTAAAGAGAAGGGAATGGTTGCAAGAGATACTGTGGAAACAGAATTGACAGATTTTTAGAAACTGATTGGATAAGTGGGGAATAGAGAGTGAAGAGGCAAAGATTACCTCAGAGTTTCTAACTTGAGTTCCTATGGAGAAGATAGTACTAACAAGTTTTGAGAGTTGCTTTGGGGGAAATAAGATGAGTCTGGTTTGAGACATGTTGAGAGTGAAATGCCAGTGGAACAACAAGAGGAAAAGGTCTAGTAGGTAGTTGAGATGCAAGACTCGAGGTCAGGGTGGGTTAGGGATGGATAAATGGATTTGGGAGTCATCTGAACCCATAGGAGTGGATGAGATCACCAAAGGAAAGTGAGTAGAAAGAGAAGAGGATCGAGGACAAAGCCTTGGAAAACACTCTTGGTGGGATGGTGGGAGGTGGCTGAGGAACTAGGGTAAGGACCCATAAAGGTTCAGTCACATTGGTAGGAGGTGAACCAGGAGAGATCAGTGACCTGGAAGCCCATACAGGAGAGAGGGACCAGGAAGTGTCAAGAGCTGCATTGAGGTCAAGGAGAATGAAGACCAAGAAAAGACCATAGGATCTACCTCACTGGCAGCCTTTGAGAGAGTAGTTCCAACAGAGTAGTAGATGTGAAGCCAGATTACAGCGTGAAAAAGAGGCAATGAGGTTCTGGCCATTTAGTAGTGGAAGGTTGGAGTGAGCTGACTGAGTGAAAGGGCACTTACCTTGTCCCACACATTGTGCTAAGCACTGGGGATACAGATACAAAAGTGAGACATTACGGTCTGAAAAGGGAAGATATTACACATGGGAAACGGTGGCCAAGGACGAACATTTTTGATTTAAAAAATCACAGAGATGATAAGTGGAGCCATGGAGGAGTTGGTTGAAATACTTTCTAATAGATTACAGAATTATTGATATAAAGCTGGAGGGACCTTGGAAGCTATCTATCTCAGCACCCTGATTTTGCAAGTCAGGAACCTGAGGCCCGGAGAGGTCAAGGGACTTGTCTGAGGTCACACAGGTAGTGAGTGATAGAGGCAGGATTTGAACCCAATTTCTGATTTAATTTCTAGTGATCTTCTCCCCTATACCATATTGCTTCTCTTGAGTAATGGCAGTAGTGATTTAATTATGGTTCTAGGGGTGGAGGACAGCTAGGTGACACAGTGATTAGAATACTTGGCCTGGAGTCAGGAAGATCTGAATTCAAATCTGGCCTCAGACACTTAGCAGCTGTGTGATCTTGGGCAAGTCACTTAATCCTGCTTGCCTCAGTTCCTCATCTGTAAAATGATTTGGAGAAGGAAATGGCAAAGCACTCCAGTGTCCTTGCCAAGAAAACCCCAAATGGAGCCATCAAGAGTTGGACATTCCTGAAATGACTAAGCAACAACAACTAGGGGTGGAAAATGGAAGGGAGACAGGAAGGCAAATGGCAAGAAGATGACCAGGGTTAAATGTGAAGCATAGGTGGAGCAGGCTGTGTTTGCAAAGCCATGTTCCAGTTAAAACATGGTTACAAATTGTCAGAAGATCTTGAGTGTGTATGAGTAGGCAGGAGAAAAGAATGCAATGTCTTCAGGAAAAACAAAACAAACAAAAAAACTATGTTTCATGAGGACCACAAGTTGGAAAGACTACGAGAGGATGTATGGGATGAAGGAGAATTTTTAAACAATCCATCCAGATTTACAAAGGTTACTAGGAAAGGGAAGGGAGGGAAAGAAGAGGCTAGCATCAGGGGCCTGGCTCAGGCCAGACCCCACAGAGATGAGAATGTGGGCAGGGACAGTGAATAGAGGGGTTTTTCAACAGTGACTGTGAATCACAGGGTGTTATGTACACATTTGGATTCACACTAATTTCAGACATCGCCAAGCTCCAAGTCCACTGGGGTGTCTTCTCTCCCCACCCCCAGAATTTCCTTACCCTGACCTTTCACCCCACCTCCCCACATGAAAGGAACTAAAAACAGTGCAGTTCAGATATAACATCTGCCGGACTCGGCTTATTGTTCGTTTAATACTGATAACGCTGCCTGGGAGAGCACCTGGACCCCGAGCCTTAAAGATTCAGTGGGAAATCACTTCCCCTATCCCCTCACAAGGTGAACCCCAAAAGGTGCTGTGTGGGCTCCGTGACACATTCTGAACCTGACCGTGATGCACTCCCAACTGCATAGAGCTTTCTGGAGGGCCAGGTGCCAGATCTTACCAGCACTTTCTCTGCTTTAGTACAGTAGAATGGTTGGTTTTTAATCAGTAAACTGTTACTAAGGAAATTATAATGCTAATGCATGCCTTAGATTATCGTAATACAGTCAGCCCTTTTTTTTATCTGTGTGGTTTATTCACTTGTAGTAATTTCTGCAATTCTCCCTGGTAAATTTTCATTTCTGGTCTGTCTTCTTCGAATTACCTGACACATTAAGCCACCTTACCTAGCAGTCACTTGGTGTTTCCTCAGTAAATGCAATCATATTTTAATATTAGCAAAGCAAAATATAATTATTTGTTAAAACTTTCAAAAAATGCCCTCACATATAGTGAATTTTCTGGTATGTTGAATTATGGTGCTTTTCTCCTTGGTTTGAACAATGTAGACGTGAATGTATTATAATTCATCTCTTTTATGAAACTAATAGTCTTTGTCTCCCTTCACATTTGACTATATAACCCTTACACTTATTAGTTTGTACAGTGACTAATACATTTCAGTTACTTATGCAAACTCAAGGTCTAAGGTATAAACCAAAATTTGTCAGAGTTGTCGACATTTTCAATTCAGGGACACTCTCATTTAACTATAGCAACCACAGGTATGTGGAAATGTACCTAAGTAAATGTGGTTTTCTGTTCTAAACCTGAATATTTTTACAAACCACCTCCCTGCCACATGGGCCGAACAGGAGGCAAAGTAGTTGGGGGAGCAAGCACTTACATAAATAATCCTTTAAGGTTTGCAAAGCATTGTAAATAGGTTTTCTTATTTGATCAAATTAAGTTCTCTTCTATGCCAAGGGCTTTCTTCTGGTTTTTGCAAATAATGTCTGGGCCCCTTTGTTTTTGACTTTTTCTATTTCAATTATTTATTTTGTTTTCCATCTTCACTCAAAGGCTCTGGAGAAGAATCAGCAGTGGCTTGTATATGATCAGCAGCGAGAGGCCTATGTGATGGGCCTTAGGGCAAAAATCTCTGAATTGGAACGGCAGTTAGAAGCAGCTGCTCATTCACCGCAACAGCAGTCAAAAAGGAGTGACTCAGAAGGTCAGGCTGTTACAAAAGATTTCTGTTAGAATAAGCTCTCCAAAATCATTTGTCAAATAGAATGTATCTTATATAGAGAATGTATAGAATTGTATAAAATGTATGTTAGAACTAAGCAACTAGGAGCAATTTACCAACCCCCACATTAGTAATTCCAGCTCACCCTAATCCTTTGGATTTCCTAAATATTAACTTAAAAAGAAAGTCATGGAGCAAAGATTTAGTTACCTACAACTTTGGATTAACAATAGCTGATGGGTTTGCAAAGTGCTTGCTATATTTACAGATTATTTCATTTGAGCCTCAGAACAGTCCTGTAAAGTATGCAATACAGAGTGCTTCCATTATAGAGGTATGGAAACTGAAACACAGAGAAAGGTTAATTAGCTTTCCCATGGTCACATGGCAAGTGTCAGAGGCAGGATTTGAACCTAGGATTTTCTGAGGCCAAGTCTATCACTCTTTTCCTAATACCACATTGCTTCTCAGCATTCCTCCAGCCTTTCTACCAATCCATGATTCTTTATTCCTTCAGAATTCTCTTTTGGAAGCTTTCTCTGATTCCCCACTTATATGTACCGAGTGTTTTTTGTAGGAGAGTAAGCTTAGTGGTGTGATAATTGGGGGAGGAAACAAACAGGCACAGCCATACTTTGACCAGATATCATTTGCTTTTACTTATAAGTATTAAGGGTTATTGTTGTTTCTCTCATTTCTTGAGGCCTGTTTGCTCTCAGGGGGTTTTTTGTGTCCAATAGTCATTATTGATTTGACTTAGTATTAAAGAAACTAACTGCTCATGAATTTTAGACTACCTTACTACAATTGGAAGTGAAGGACTGGGAAAAGCAAGGTGCCATTATAAGCCCATGTGAAGATCCCTGGACCCATAACCCGGGAAAAGCCTGGGGAGAGGCCTTTCCTCCTCCGCCAAAAATACTCAGGAGCTCAGATGTTCTGAGAGTCTCTGGCTGACAGATGCTTCCAGGGGCTGAGAACTGGGGTGATGCCATGGCTGTACTTGGCTCGGGGGGATATAGTCCTTTCTCCTTGGGCAAAGAGTTACCCTACTTGATATAGCATTTAAGATGAGATGACGTAATCCTGCTGTGTCAAGCTCCTGACAGGAAACTGGCAAGATAAAAGTGAATGGAGCAATGACTAATTCCTGCTTCCAGCTCAGAAAGCAGCTCAGGCTGAGGGAGAGCTGGGCTGCACTGGAAGAGGAGAGTTAAAAATGACTTTCCTTTCCCCATCCCCAAGTCTGATGTCATGTGAGTATTCAGGTAAGGGAGAAGGCTGAGTGTTGTGGTAGTGAGGGAGGATGCAGTGAAGAGAAACAGCTCTGGTCCCCTTAGTGCCCCAGATTCAGTACACGTGGATTAAGCTCTCCCAGTGTGCTGGGCGTTGTGCTGAGCAATGGGCATACAAAGGAAAATGAAAGTCTGCCCCCGAGGATCTGATTCTAAGAATGTGAGAATGGCAGGGACCTTGAAGGTCAACAAGGCCAATTCCCTCATTTTACAGAGGAGGAAACTGAGGCCCAAAGAAGTCAGGTGACTTGCCCAAGAGTACTGAGTAAACGTCAGATGAGATTCAAACTTGGGCGTTCCTGACTCTAAGGCCAGTACTTTATCCACCACACCACACTTCCACCTTTGGAGCTGCCAGAGGGGAGCAGCATGAATACCCACACTGTCAGCTACCTGTATGGTTTGTACAGTAACTTCAGAAGGCTGCAGAAAGATGGAGCAAGAGCTATCCTAAGCATACTAAATAGAAGATGTGCAAGGGTGTTTCACACTGTGTGTGGAGGGATGGCCTGTTGGACCTTGGCAAGAATTATGCACTAACCTTCTACTAACAAGGCTATTTCCAGTTAGATGCAGAAAGTAGATCTAATTATTAAGTTGTTGTTCAGCAGCCCCCACCCAGCATTCAAACCAGACAGGAGCGTTTGGTTATTAGTTGAGGAGAGCTTTGGCATTTGTACTTTGTATAGTTTCTGTTCCAAATTCACATTTGAAACAAAGTTGATAGGATTGAAAGAGGTCAAAGGATTCTAGAAGCTATTTCTTCATTCCAGTAAAAATGGGAGCCATAAAAATTGATAGACAGTAATGCCAGATGAACCATGCCTTTGGAATGGAAATCTACTTTACCATCGCAAAAACAATCCATTTACTATTATAGGACCTTAGGTTTAGAGTTGGAAGAGAGGACTTTAGAAGCCATCAAGTCCATCCCCCTCATTTTACAGATGAAGAAACTGAGGCCAAAAGAGGTTAAAGTGACTTGCTCCAGGTTACACAGACAGTAAGAGACAGAGGTATGCTTTCAACCTAGAGGCACTTCTTGATGAGTCGATATAAAGATAAGCTAATTCATCTGACAGATTGGTACTATACAACAGGAAGTAGCAGATTCTGGGTTCCTTAAAGTTATGATTTTGCCCAAGATGGGCCTTTACAAATAAGAGAGATTAATCGGCTTAACTGCACATGTTGATTCCATTTTAATGAAATGTGTTGCCCTGCCATTAAGAATCAGTTCATTATAAACCTTAAAAAGTTCCATGCACTAAATATTTTTTGCTCTAATGGCACTGTGAATTGGAAGTTAACGTTGCATCTAGTAAGTTCACAACCCCTCAGCACCATTTTTAATAGTATTTTTCCCAATTACATGTCAAAACAATTTTTAGCATTCATTTTTATAAGATTTTGAGTTCCAAATTTTTCTTTCTCCCTCCCCGCCCCCTCTTCCTAAAATGGTAGACAATTTGATATTGGTTATACATGTCAGCACCATTTTTCAATGATGCATTGTTTGTGCTTTTGAAATATGAAGTCTCCAGACGGCAGCCATGGCAGAGACATGAAAATACAGTTTGTTTTAGTATGCTTATTTATGCATTTTGGTAGCCCTCCAGATAGAGAATGGGAAATCAACTAATTTAGATCACTAAAAGTACTTTGTTTTTGCTCATTATAAACATGTACATTTCCTCTAACCAAAACCTAGCTCTTCACTCCTGCAGAGTCACAGGGGCCTTGAGAGATGATCTAGTTTATCTCTCTCTGCCTTTTGCTTCCAGTAAGTTTATTAACCTTGACTTATCTTTAAAAAACAAAACAAAACATTATTTTTCCTCACCAATTAGAGTTGGAGCAGTTTGATTCTGGCTAGAGGGAAACTCCCATGTTAAATTTTAATTCCTCCTGGCCTTCTCAGATTTTAACCCCCCCCCCCATATTTCCATTTTATGCATATAAATTTTAAAAAAACTATCATAAAAGTAATCTTTCCATAGGCCTCCCCATAGAGTCATAGGATTTGAAAACCAAAAAGGACCTCAACCACCTAGTGTAAAGTTCTATCCCTGACCTTGCTGTGGAGCCATGGAAAAGTCATTCATTTCTCTGAACTTCACTGTCATTATCTGTAAAATAGGAAGAACAAAGCCTATACTACCTATTTTACAGGGCTTTTGTGAGGAAAGCACTTTGTAAACCTTAATTCACTATATAAAATGTGAGTTATATTATTTTTCTGCAATTAAGGCTTAGAACATTTTTTGTAAAAATGTACCAAATTGGTTACTTTTTAATAGAGTTCTAGCAAAGGCTAGATGACCGTGTGGTGGTTGTTCAATCTTTTCTCGGTTGTGTCCGACTCTATGAATCCATTTGGGGTTTTCTTGGCAAAGATACTATAGTGGTTTGCCATTTCCTTCTCCAGCTCATTTGAGGAAATTGAGGCAAACAGAGTTAAATGACTTGCTCAGAGTCACAGCTAGTCTGAGGCCAGATTTGAACTCAGGAAGATGAATCTTCTTGACTCCACGCCTGGCACTCTATGCACTATGGCGTTACCTAGCTGCCCTCTGAGATAACTATTTATTGGATACATTATAAAGGAGACTCATAACCAGGTACAGGTTGGAAATAGAAGACCTCTGAGCTCCCTTCCAGCTCTGAAATTCTGTGAATTCAAGGAAATTTGCTTTTACAGAAGTAGTAAAGTATATAAATGAGTCTTTCAGGTTTTTCTATGGTCATTATTTATTCTTATATACTCACAAGAGATTTAGAGTACAGAAATTCCTGGTGAAATTAACTGTAAATAAATAACTTAGAAAAGATAACTCAATAGAACAAAACACTCTTCAAAATGTTAGTAGCCCCCAAAAGGCAGCAAACCCTTACTTAAATAAAGCACTAATCTTAATCAAATTGGCACAGAAAACTGATCAACACAAGCTTATTTTTCAATTTTCAGATTTCAAATGGAATTACTTAAGATGGAGATAGCAGTATAGAAGAATGTCTAAAGAGAAATCCTCTCTTTAAATGATGTGACCCTGTCATACTTGGATCTAATCCTAAGGGAACATAATATTTTAAATAAAAGTTTGCTGTCTTTTCAAATGTGATTTTAATTCCATATAGGGTCTGAGAACTTGTGGAAATAAGCTCCATAGTTGTAATAGAAGTCAGTGGGAAAATGTGAATTGTAGAGATTTGCTTTCCAGCCAACATTTGGGGACCAAATTTCTTGGCTAAAATGAGGTGTTACTTACTGTCCCTTGCATTAGGCTGTCTTCAAGAAGAGAGGCAAAACCACTCTGACCATCTCTGGATGATGAATGTCCAAAAGGACCTGGAGGCTGAACGACAAACTGTAACCCATCTGAGTTTTGAACTTGATGAATTCCGAAGGAAATATGAAGAAGCCAAGAAAGAAAATGTAGATTTAAATAACCTGTTGTCTTCTCTAAGAGAGGCTGAGGTACAACATATGGAAGATAACAGGTACAAAACAGGGAAAATACAGAAACTAAAGAAAGAGAATGAAATTGCCAGAGAGAAACTTGAAGAAGAAAAAAAAAGGTCTGAAGATCTGTTATCTCAGGTGAGCCCTCTGTGGTTTTTCTAGCACGCTTCCAGTTAGATTCCGTGACCGTCACATTGTTCGTGTCTCATCAGCATTTGTCTGACTCCGTTATTCCCAAACTGTGCTAGATCATTTAGTAGAGTGAGGGTGTTCGTGAGTGGGACGCACTTCTCAGCATTATCTTTCTTGCAGTGAGGTTCACTAAAAATATAAAACAGACTGTCAAAAAATCTTCAGAAGAAGTAGATGGGAAGGTGAGTAGCTGTTCAGGGTCTTACCCCTGAACCACAACCAGTCCTTCCTGTTTGGGGGTGTCAGGAGTGGTGGTGTGTGAAAGATCTCCATGATTGTAGCTGAGGGAAGCTAGCTTCCCCTCAGTTCACTTTTTCCAGTCAGCACGCTTCGAGAAGCATTGGCAAAGGTTAGACCCTCCAATAAAAGGAGGGGGGAGAGGGAGAGAAGCTGAAAGGGACCTCAGGGGCCATCTAGTACACATTTTATAGATGAGGAAAGTGAAAGCCAGAAAAGTTAAGGGACTTGCCGAAGGTCACTCAGGGCAAGAGCATCAGGGATAGGATTTGAACTCAGGGCCTCTTTGGATTCAGCCTTCTTTCCCCTTGTAATGCAGCCTCCTGTTGGTGGTAAGTAGTGGTGGTTGCTGCTACAGAATTCAAGAAGCTATTCATCAACTTCCTTCCTATTCTGTGGCTCATTCCCTTCTCCATCCTCCTCATGTCACTCTACCTCATCGTCATCGCCAAATTATAGTCAGAATAGCAGATTAGAATAGCTGCTTCCTTTGGCTACATACACATGACTCTCCAGAGACAAACCAATGAATGCCCTTTGGCTCAAGCATGAATTCAGACACCAACTCCTGGAGATGATGGCAGATTCTGTTGTCATGATGCAGCTCTTCTCTCCCTGTGGTAGGTCCAGTTTCTCTCCACATCTCTGCTAAAGCAACAGAAGGAACACACAAGGGTGGCTTTATTGGAACAACAGGTATTCCTTATAGATTCTTTTTAGCATGAATCCATCACTGAAGATTAAAGATTTCCTTACCTTTGCAATGTCATGTGGACAATTATTACAAAATACATGAGAAATTTTTTGAATTTTTAGGTAGACCATACCAATTGTACACCCCTGGGGCTAGCTTGAGAGAGAGCCCAGGTACCTGTTGAAAAGAGATGTCTTTTGGTAAATTCTGTTAAGCAGTGACCCATAGGAGTAGATGGGGATTTCTGCTCCATCTACTTCATCAATTCCCATCTTGGGAAATTTCCCAAATAGAGCTGCCTTGGAATGGCACAGAGAAGCAAAGGTTTCTACAAATGTTAAAAGCATCTAGTAGGGTAAATATTCCCAGTGTTCAGTTCCTTACTAATTCCAAATCAGGGATAACTTAATAGGAAAAAATACATGACTGTCAAAAGCATGGTTTTTCCTTCTCTTGAAGTTTGAGATAGAAGAAAAAAAGGAACTGAAGTAATTCTCTTCATCCCAAATTCCACGAAGACCAACCAAAAACATTCCTGGCACACAGTAGACACTTAATACAGACTTATTGATTTGGCTTGACCATCCAGCCTTTCTCAAATGACTGGCCCTGACAACCCACATGCCTCTCTGGTCACTTGGAGTTTGTAGGCCTACATAAAAAAAATTTTTTTAAAAAGCAGCTAGGGAGAGAATCGCTTTGGGACTGTTTGTACCCAGTTTTGAAGTAGAGGAACAGAATTAAGCCCACTAGGAAAGAATGGAAGTATTTTTCTCTCCTCATCCCTGCCCCAAGCAGTCAGTCATCGTCCTCCTTGGATTTTCCATAGCCTTCACTAATTGGAATGTAAGTTTTCAGATTCTTCTGAATTAAACTGATTTTTTTTTTACTATTTGTAAAAATAAATTTGCTTATTATTTATCAATTATGTGGCTATACAGCAAGGAAAACTATACTGTAATTATTACTTAAATAATATTTGCATCTCTATAATTATTTGTTTTTGGGGTTTACCAGATCCAGGCTTGTACTATAGATTTTGAAAATGAAAAATTTGATCGCCAGAACATGCAACATCAATTACATAGAGTTCTTAAGGAGCTAAGAAGAGCAAGGGAACAAATAAAACGGCTGGAGCCCATGGTGAGTCTTGAATACTTAAACTAGTATTTCATTTTGAACTGTAATCTCACTCTGTTGGGGTATATTTGTGTATGTGCCGGGTGAGGGGCAGGGAAGGACGAATCTAATCAGGTAAGAGCATGAGCCCAGAGCCCACACTTCAATGCACACAGCTGCCTTTTCTGCTACAATTTAAGACATATTAATATAGAGAAATAGCTTCTCTTCCTACATAGAAAGTGAACAGATTGCCAATATCCAAAACTACGTGCTTTGCACATGACAGAATCCCTTCCCACATGCTTGTACTGGGAGAACCACTTAGTTAGGAGAGAGATTTCAGACCTCCTGTTAGAAACTCAGAATGCATTTGCCTGTTGGAACATTAACATGATGATTAGCTGTGTTGAAATAGTGCTGTTATTATGCTGTCTCAGCTACATTGTGAGTTCAGCAGGTTTTCATGCACTGGACTGGGAACTAGACACCATTTTATTATTTGTTTTTATGGGAAAATGTGTTACGAGTTCCAAACAACCAACTTACAGACTTTTAGAACTCAATCTGTTTATAAGTTGGAGATTATATGTATGGCAATTTACCTTGAAAAAGACCTGAAGTTTGCTGGTAGAAGTGGGAGTCAAAGGGGCTGCAGCTTCTGAGTTATTGTGAAGTAGTTCAGTTCTCTGCGTTCGTGCTGTTTCTCCAGAATGAAACTGAGCATAAGTAAATTCGAAATTCACTTTACCCTCAGATTGTTCCTAATATACCAATCACATGCGAACAAATTCACGTTTTCAAAACAAGTGCTATTGCCGAGTTGACTGTTTTTACTGTAGATGTTTTGTGATTCTAGGTTCACAGAATTTTAGAGCCAGAAGAAGTATTAAGTGTTGGACTTGAAGTCAGAGAAACCTGGGCTTACATCCCTGCTTTTCCATTGACCAGCTGTTTGACCTTGGGCAAGTCACTTGCCTCTTGAGAGCTTAGTTTGCTCAGTTCTAAAATGAGGAGATTGGATGAAATGACCAAAGGTCCCATTCTATGTCTGGATCCTCCTCAGAGAGGGAAAATTATTTGCCCAAAGTCAGTTAGTAGGTAGTGGAGCCAGGGTATTGATTTCATTTGTTCAGCACACATTTTATTAAGCACCTAGCATGTACAGAACATTATCCTAGATGGTGAGAATGAAAAAAAAAAAAGAATCTAGATAGTCTTAACTTTTTTTGAATGAAATATTGTATGATATTCTCATAATATGAAGACTACAGCCCACAGCCATGACAGATTGTCTTGGTGCTCCCGTTTATGCATTTTGATAGTAGGTAGGAAATTGGGAGTCATAATCTAGATCACTAAAAGCACTTTAGTTTCTCCCTAGCTGTAACTTTGTAAATTTTCCACAGCCAAAATCTAGTTTTGCAGAATCATAAGGCCTTGCAAGAGTACCTAGTCTCTATGCCTTTCCCACTCTCTCAGTGCTCTTCCTCTTTACCCCAATTTCTGGTACAGCACTGATTTTAACATTTTATTTTAAAAAGGAAATGGATTGCTTTTCTGTGCACAACCAGGTGCTTTTTAAAATTCAGTAATGTCTTAGGTCGTCTGCCAGTCATTCTCTGTACTTCTTTTTGTATCTGTCCCATCCATCATCTTCACAGAGTGTCTTAAGCATTGGTTCAGAGTTTAAGGCTTACAGAGTCCTGTAAACTCTTCAGGGGAAATGATAAAAGGACAGGGTTTTAGTTTTACAAGTGCTCTGTGCACACTCAGTATAACCTCTTATAAATTTACCCATTGATTTTCATTGTGTACTCTCTTGCTGGATCTGTATTTCCTCTTCTCACAAACTAATTAGCTTTGCAAATTAGCATTCGTCTACAGACCCTGGCTTGAGGGGGTGGGAGGGGGGAGGGATTTTTTATGGCTAAGAATTTTAATTAAAATGAAAATGATATCCAACCCCAGTCCTTATTGGGTGATTGGTGTTCCCCTGCTACCAGGGAATCCTTACTATGGTGCTGTGAAGGGGAGGGGGTAGAGGTTCACAAGAAAATCCATCTTCAAGAGTAAAGGTGATTACTGATGGCTGTAAGCCCACCTGTCATTATATCTTTATGCACTGTAGTTTCAGATGAAATCTCTTTTTCAGAAACAAGTCCAGGAGTACGTCCACATAGAGCGGTCTGACCGTTTCCCAGGAGATCATGAGGAGAAGTTAAAAACGGATTCACCAAAGCGCTCTAATCTGTTGGATGAGAGCTTCTTAGAGTGTCCCAAATGTAAAACGCAGTACCCAACGAGTCAGCACAGAGAATTATTAGCTCATATTGATATCTGCGAAAACTAGCCAGGTAATACTTGTATTTATGCGTCAGAGAGCCGATACTGTATCTTACGTTAGCTTGTGGACATTTTGAATTCACATTTCATTTAAAACTGTAGAAGACGCTGTCTGCCTGCCTTTCAGATTCCAGCTGATGGAGTCGATCATTGTACTTATCTGGCTACTTTCTAATTTCCATTGCAGTGATATTTCCCAGATTCATGTGTCATCTAGGCATGTTAAAGATAATAGAATTTTCTGAATATATATATTGAGACTACTGACATTTTCTACTATAAAATATTCACTTGGGAAATGGAAATGCATAGGGAGTTCAGATTATTTTTAGTGCTCACACACCAAATATTTTATGTTCAATGGTGCAATAAAGTAAACACTGGCAAGAACTTTTGTAGAAAGTCAGTAACAGTTATAGAGGAATGTTTTATCTTTTGGTCTAAGCACTTATAAAACTAGAATACTGGTTTGCAAACACTGGTTTGCATGTCCTTTAAAAAAACTGCAGTTGTGTTTGTCATTATTTTTATTATATTATCAGCATAGTATAGGAAAAGTATGAAGTGACGTGTTTTTGCTGCTTGTTGATGTGTCTCCTGTATCAGCCATGTTCAGAGTGTAAAACAGAGACTGCCTGTGCAGACCACAGTAACTGAGAAGCAGCTGCACGTGGTGTTTACTTTCATATTTACTGGAAAGGTATTTCATCAGACTTTCCATAGCATATGCTGGTCCACTGAAAAATTAAAGCTCATTCTGCCAAAAGCATCTAGGCCTCTCATTGGAACCAGAAACATTTTAAAATTTTTCTTGGCATTTCTATATTCTACAACTTAAATCTGGAAAATGTAAATATAGGGTAACTTTTCAGAATAAATTTTTTTATGTGCTTTTAAGTTTTTTTTTGTTTTCTAAAATTCTTGACACTGGGTTGTTATTTGTAATAATATAAAAGAGAAAATAAAATAATTTTAATGAGTTTCAATGTGCACAGTATACATATAGAAGTAGATTACTAAAAAATATTTGTACCCTTCTTACTACTGAAATAAATGGAGATGGCTTACAGATCAAAACACAGCAAAAAGTAAAACATTTTAATACTCAGACAGTAGAGATCATACAGAGAAGTAAAATAGATGCTTTTTGGGTACCTGGAGTGAGTAGATTATAACACTTTGGCTCTAAGTTTTTCAGCACACTGGACAAAAGGAAACTTTGTTCTATAGTTTTGTTTCCTGCTGATAAAAGATTTAGATTCATTGGCAGAGGCAAAATTTTTCCTGAAATTAAAACTCAAGCAGATATTTATCCTGTATCTAAAGGACAAAGAGTGGCACAGTTATAGAATCATAGAATGGTAGACCTGGGCACGAGAAAGCATCTAAACCACTGGTGTTAAACTCGGAGAGAAAGAGGGCCTACTAAAACGTGCATGAGGATCCCTGCGGGCCTCATATTAACATTATCTGCGTTCTGTTGTATTTTTATTTACTTTGTTAAATATTTCCCGATTATACTTTAACCTGGTTCAGGCCACAGTCGAGAGTGTTGTGGCTGCCCCTCTGATCTAAACTAATCCCTTTGTTTGACAGATAGTAAATAACTTACCTAAGGTTATGCAACTAATTAAGCCCTTGCTAACCCTAAATGCAACTTTGAAAATATTAATATTTGAGACAAGAGGTTCCCTGTCATCTGTGAGATAAGCCAAAATTGCTTAGCCTGGTATTCAAAACCTTCATTATCCGCCCCTAACCTAACTTGCCAGCCTTTTCTCCTGCTGGTTGCCTTCACAAGCTTTCTGTTCTGCTCACTCACTGTTCCTGCAGAGGCACAACACTCAAGCACAGTGGTGTTCAGTAAGCATGTCCCTCAACAGTGTCTTTGCAGTCAGAGTACTTCATGCTGAATCTGGACCTACTGTTTACTAGTTGTACAAGCCTCTTCCTTTTTAATACGGGAATAGGAATGCTTGTTCTGCCTACATCGTGTGGTTGTTATGAAGATAAATGAGGTGGTGTGCATAGAACTTTTTTTGTGAGCTATTGCTGCCTATCACCAAAAGAATAATGTTTTTAACTTTTTGAAAAGAAATTTCAGAGCTGTCGTGTTATTGCTGAAATCTTATGAAGCAAGTAGCACAAGCACTATTGTCTCAACTTGAAGAGGTAAGAAAATCAAAATGGACAGATTGTAAATAATTTTCCACTATAAACGAGTCAATGACTGGACTAGAACTCTATATTCTCTTAACTGTGGTCCAAGAACTCAATCCCATCAGTTTTTATATCAAAATGTCATGAGTGAAATTCAAGAAAGGTAGACTGAAGCAAGATAACATTTTATTAACAGGGGTATTACCTGCCAATAGTTTGGGTTAGTGGCTGCCTCAGTTTAGCCCAAGACCCAGAGATGGGAACTAAGTTCCTTTTTATAAGATTAGAACAAAGAACAAAACAGGGCAGGTGGGGAAATAATGCAGTTGGTTATAGGGCTGATAATATGAGGGTGAGGGAAACGTGATTGGTTGCATAGCTGAGGTGTGGGGAAACAATATGATTGGTTGGAAGTTGGAAATGAGGGGCTAACAACAAGCCCCTCCTTCCTTTCAGCGACTAAGAAATTTTCATTGTTTGAATCCACCCACAAGGTTAAAAGATAGTGAGCCAGATATTGGATAGCAAGCCAGATATCCATGAAGGATAGCTTGATGGAGTAAAGATACACATCCTGAAGGATAACAGATTTCCTTGAGGCAAGGAAAGAACAGTGATTAGCAGAAGAACTGGATTTCTAAACAATCATTTCCTCATATACCCCTACCTCAATGAACCCTCTCTTACAACAAATAAAACAGTTAAATAGAACTGACTGACAAAACAGCCTGTGAATTGTGCACCTGTAGTTCACTGCCTCTCTACTGAAAGGAAATATATTCCATTATCTGATCTCCAGGACAGAGATCATCACAGTTAATGTGAGTTTGGCTGCCTCTTAATGTTGTTTTCATGGTGTATCTTGTTCTCCTGATTCAGTTTATTTTAAATCAGTTAATAGCAGACTTTCCATAGTTTCTTGAAATTCCTCATATTTGTCATTCCTTATGGTGCAATAATAGAGGCAGCTAGATGGCTCAGTGGATAGAGCACTAGGCCTGGAGCCAGGAAGATCTGAGTTCAAATCCAGCCTCAGACACTTACTAGCTGTATGACCCTGGGCGAGTCACTTAACCTCTGTTCGCCTTAATCCATTAGAGGAAGAAATGGCAAACCACTTCAGTATCTTTGCCAAGAAAACCCCATGGACAGTATGGTCTATGGGGTCATGAAGAGTCGGATACGACTGAATGACTGAAGAACAGCAAATGGTGTAATAATATTCCATTACGATCATAAATCACAGTTCCGTCATTCTCAGCTGAAGAACACCCATTTTATTTCCCTCTTTTTTCTGTGCTCCGGTCTTTCCACTGACTCATGCTGCCTCTATGAATGGCTGACCCTGAAAGAGAGAGTCAGGCTAGAGTGCCCTTGGGAGTTTGATCCCAGAGGTAAAGGTGCTGCTTTCAGGACTAAACTCTGCCGGGGTCCTGGCATCTCTATTCTATTCTGTGTCTATTATTAGATGATCAGCAACTAGGAATGACTCACCTTGTCTGGTGTCGCCAGCCTACAACCTCTCGTATCGTAAACAAAAAGTAATAAATTGGAAAACTAACGTGACTTTGAAGAGAAAATCAGTTACTTCTGGGAAGCCCATCCATTATGTGACAACTTCCCTACAATACTGATTGATTAGTGGATAATTAGATCCCCAAGACATTGTATTCCAGGTCATTCCACCACAGCAAAGATAGCAAAAAGGGAGTGTTTCAGCCCCGATAACCTTCAAGGGCCAGAACATCTAGACAGTCGTCACCTAAGTCTACATTCCACCCTCACCACCTTGTGCTGGAGATAGCTGTGACTACCTGGCTCATCTTCCCTAGAGACAGCAAACTGGGTCATCCAGTTAGTTCACGTGACTAACAAACTTTTTATAACTCTGGTACTTAGGTTTTAGATATTTTGACCTTGCTTTATAGGAGCAGTTAAGCCACATAAGTCCTCTACCTCCTACCCAACTATTGTCCTGCCATGATTCCTTTCCATATGGCCACTGTTAACCAGTACAGCTCCCTCGCTTGCAAGTATACTCTGTATAATCAACAGCTTGTGGTTTCCTGATTTCCTCAAATATGTAGAACACCTCAATTTCTCCATCCCTTGTGGGCCTGAATCACTCCAGGTCTCAGCCTTCCACCGCTGTGAGTGATCCCTTCTCTCCAAAGTTGACTCCTCCAACTATTCCTTTTTGTCTCCTAAGGAACCTTTCCCTAGTCTCATCTCTTCCTTCTCCACCCAATTAATTCCTTTATATTGAAAAAAAAAACCCTTCACTTGTTTGATCCCAACTACCAAAATTCACAGCCACAACATCTCAGACAAATGTACCAGACCCACTGCCTCCATTTTTTCATCAATCTCTCCCTCTGTAACCCCCTGCAATCTATGTTTTCTTCCTTCATTCTAGTAAAACCACGTCCTAGTCAAGTACTGGAGAATCTTTTTTAAAAATTACTTTCATTTCTCATCCTTCTCAAACACCCTGCCCTAACCTATCTCATCCTTTGGCCATCATGATGCCTTGGTTTTGAACATATTGGCTTTAAAGGGAATAGCAGGGCATTCCCGTCAATATAATGTCCATTCCAATTCAACAATGCTGGACTGGAGTATGGGTGAAAAGTACAGATTTGGGTAGTTACCCACATTGAGGCAGTTGGGTAGTGCAGTAGATAGATTCCTGGACCTGGAGTCAAGGAAAACTATCTGGCCTCTGATCACACTGGCTGTGTGATGCTAGGCAAGTCGCTTAACATCTGTCTGCCTCAGTTTCCTTGTCTGTAAAGAAGGGAGGGAATAAGCCTTTATATAGCACCTATTGTATGCCAAGCACTGTGCTAAGTGGTCTTTACAGATTTTATCTCATTTGATCCTCACAACAACCCTGAGAGGTAGGTGCTATTATTATCACCCCCATTCTATAGTTGAGGAAACTGAAGCACACAGAGGTTAAGTGATTGGCCCAGGGTCATACAGCTAGTAAGTATCTCAGGCTGGATTTAAACTCAGGTCTTCCTGACTCCTGGTGTAGTATTCTCTCCAATGGACCACCAGTTGCTTCTAAATGGGGATAGTATCTCCCTGCTAGGGTTGCAAGGATTAAATGAGATCATATTTGTAAAACTCTTTGCAAACCTTAAAGTTCTATGAAAATACTAGTTTATCATCATCATCATCATTATCATTATTATGATAATGATGATGATGATGTGATAGTTTTAAATCCTTGGGAATAGATGAGTTCTCTAAGAGAGAAACTTAAAGAGAAAAGAAGAGAAAAACTGAAGACAGCCTTAGGGATTGCCCATAGGAGGATGAGGAATCAAGGAAGAAAACAGGAATGTTCAGAGAGGTAGGAGGAGACCCAGGATCCTGTGGGGTCACCCAAACCAAGGGAAAAGAGCTGTTCAAGGAGGGTGAATGGTGAAGTGTCCAGTAGGTTGGTGGGGCTTTGGAGTTAGTATCTGGTGATATTCTCCCCATTCCCCTGCCTGCCAATTACTATGAGTGTTTCAAACTATGGATCAAGGTATTATTAAGGATATAAAATAAACAGAATATCAAAATTACATAAGACTTTACAGTTTACAAAGTGCTTTCCTCATAGTAATCTTGTGATGTAGGTAGCATTATCATCCTTATTTTATAGAGTAAGAAACCTGGCTGGGGTCCAGAGAAGTTTCTCATATTATCATTATTTGCCTTCAATTACATGAC